CTCCCCCCCCCCAAACAAATACCACTGAAAATAGTCCCATGTGTGCAAGTCCTGTATTGATGCTTCCGCGGGAGAAGAGCAGGAGATGCGGAAGTGCGAATCGTGCAGTCAAAGTTGTTGCCGTCGTTGTCGCGACGTGTGCCATGACCCCGATTGTCAGGTGGGTAGGCAAGGGGTGTGTGGCGGAGGGGGGGGTACTCTTATCCGTACATGCCGTAGTCGTTTAAGAACATTGACCTCGCATCCCTACAAAGCCGGGACGGAGCACACATCGTTCTCACCGGACGAGGCTCTCACACCACGGGGGGGTGGGGGTGGAAGTACATCTGTGTTCCGTGTGTGTTTGTGCGGTCAGCATGGACCGCGGCGGCTCCATCCCGTCCCATCCGTTCTTTGGCGTCCCGTTTTGCTCGCAACCTTCTGTCTCTTGGTCGATCCAGGCTGTTGTGCCATTCCACACAGCATACAGGGCTATCCCGTCCCGTAGCATCCCGTCCCGTCCGTTATGTTTTTACGGAACCGTCCTCTTCTTTTTGTGGATCCAGGCCGTTCATTGTACGGGATGCTCTACCATGGAGGCATGCCACCAGTGTGACGGCATCTTCTGCACCGAAGCCGTGGATGACATAGAGTGTGCTTCTCGCTGTACCTGCGATGAGGTAGGTGTGCCATGGTTAATATTGTTCCCATTGGTGTGGCCCCCCTTGGTCGATGGTCCCTCCCTCCCTCGTTGTTCTCTCCACGGAACCCCTCGCTGTTTCCTGTCGTCCCGGTTCTTCTCGTCGTGTCTTGGTTGGGTTCTCTCCTCCCCTCTCTGTCCCCTGTCCCCTTCTCACCCTGCCTCCGCTCTCTCTCTCTCTCTCTCTCTCTCTCTCGCTCTCTCTCTCTCTCGCTCTTTTTCCTTCCCTCCCCCCAGCCCCCCCCCCTCGGTGTTTGCCATCGGGATGGGGTTTTCGTCGCTTGGCAACGACGTTGTAACATATGCCAATTCACTTCGTGAACTCGGCAACCAGGTTACCGTTTTTTTTTTACCTCTGTTTTTTTTTTTTGGCAGTAACCATAATGGTGGTCGAGTAGATCATGTCTTGCGGGGTGGAGATCGCTCACTCCGCGCAAGGGGCATGATCGTACCTCAAGCACCCTCGAGGCAGTTACACAGTGCTTACAACTGTTCCTGGAAGTGAAAGCACCAGAAAATAAGTTAAGTCATACGCAGCTGTCATCCGTACGCAAGGAAGTAAGCACAAGATGCCGAACACCCTTAGCAGGATGCAGCGCACCCTTCATGCGACTCGCCGAATACCTCACGGCGCTTCGCGCTTGGTGATGTGAGAGCCTGGTCCGGTGAGAACCCGGCGTGCTCCGTCCCGGCTTTGTAGGGAT